TTAGAAGAAGAAGAAGAAGAAGAAGAATTAGAAGAAGAAGAAGAAGAAGAAGAGGTATCAGTTAAACAGTTTAAACTTGATGGATACTTGTTGGCGCCTTGCTCCGACAGTCCGCCTTGCCCACATTTGTTTCTCTGTTTGGCATTTTACTATCTTGTCAAATACCAAAGAGCAATGGTAAGAATTTTGTACAGTGGTCCCATTCTAGCAGTGTGTCTAAAGGAGTGGTGTTCCTGGGCTACACTTGTAATGGACTAGAATGTGCAAGGTCGTCAGGCTGATCAGCATCAGCCCTACAGTTCTGTAACGTGCACAAGCTTGTAAGGCTAATAGCTCGTGTCGACATGTTCACCAATATGGCAAGTTCGAAGGCTTTTGACACGGATATCCAGGGTTCTTCCCGCTTGTCTCTGTTTGGGGAAAAAAAACAACAACAACCAAGGATACTCCACGCTACAGTCTGGTTGATTGTCTTTTTATCTCCTTGGAGAAAAGAGTTGGTGTGTCACTTGATGAGGCTTTTGTGCCCAGCCGGGCCTGAACCCTCGATGTCCTTGGTGTCATCATACGTGTGTGTACGTCGTAGATCGAATGTTCAATCCCTAGTGCGTACTGTTTCAAGGAACCACCCAATAAGAGCAGAAAATTCTGAAGACGCAAAAGCTTATAGAAAACCAATTATGAATAAGCGGAGTGGAAAGCAGAATTACATAGGTGGGAGCACACCCAGTCAAGAATGAACCGCGCACTGAGGTCTCTCGACAACAAAAGCCGTCTTTGCGCGTTAAACAACCAATCCATAAACAATGTAGTAGCCCTACTATGATGATGTGACGGCTTATGCTACTCACCTGTTCAGCCTAGACACACTAGCCGACTTCCTCTCACTCTTTTCTTCCCACTCTCCTCTCGCCAGATGCTGCTGAAGAGTCTGATTGCATCAGGCATCCCGACCAACACCAGGTAAGTATCCGCTTGGCCCTACTGCACTCCCCCTTTCCCGATCTCCCCCTTCCTCCTCGCCACCTGCTACTGCTGCTCTGCGCTGCCGTGCTTTAGCTATGGCAGGCACAGGCCAGGCAGCTACACCTCTCTGCTGCCTTCGTTCCACCCAGGGCGCTTGCTGGGTGCACGCGCTGCTCCACTGCTGCCACATGCTGGCACTGCCCAAATGTCCACATGCCCCAGTGTCTCCTTCTTTTGTTCGGCCTTCAGGCTGGGGTCTGTTCCCTCTGGTAGGCAGTTCTTACCGATCTGGGCCGCTATCCCAACTTGGCCTGCCGGGTAGCTCCTGCATGGCCTCCAATCAGGGGCCCCATTTTCGTCCAGGCACGGCCTTCACTTGAGGCCCGCTGTCTTTTCACAGACGGCCTCTTCTGAGGACTGCCGATGCCTGTAGCCTCGCACAATCGTTAAGACTGTCAGAAAGAGCAGAAAAGAAACACTGCCAATGTACAAGGTTCAGTTACGGGCCAGGCATGCTGAGTAATAGCTGGAACCATGTGGCTTTTGGATGTCAAAGGTGAACTGAAGTTTCCCAAATCTAACTGTGCTCAGACTCCCACCTGTAACTCGCTTGATAACCAACGTTCGAACTCACATTGGCATTGTGGTGTTCGATGGAGCACGGAGCTGAGTAGCATAGCTTAACTGAAACGCAGTCAGGAGTAAACTGTAGTCCATTCTACTTCGAAAAGGGCAGCCTGAACGGCCGAGCAAGACTTTGAAGAAGTCTATAGTCAATAGCAGTATGAAGTTATGAACTTATCTGCAATGAACCCAATCAGGAGGAAAGCTCAACAATGTCGGAGTACAGAATGTCTCAGCGCAGTTTCAATGTCTCCAATCATACATGCAATGAAGAGTCCGATGTCAAGTAACCAGAGAAGAGAGTGATGAGAGGGAGATTAGACTGAGAGGGTGGCAGAGAAAGTAACCATCAGCTTCAGCAGATAGATCTCCCTCTTGGCCCACTCCTCCTTCGGGCATCTCCTACTCGCCACATCAGCAGACAGTTTCCTCTGACACACACTGACATCAAACAGATCTCAACATGGCTCATGCAGCGCAGACTCCTTCTGAAGACAACAGCAGAGCGCAATGTCGACACAATCGTGAACAGGTAAGCTGTCCTTGCTTCACTTGACCAATCTCACAGCCCTGATCCTCCTCCTCCTTGCCAATGCCACACCAATGTCGTAGACAGTGTGGCGAGAGCCACACCAGCAATAATCAAGAAGAGTGCTGGTGCTAAAGACAGAGGATAGTGTCAGCGCATTAGCAGTGTCGCGTCGTCGTCAAATATCAAGCCAGCGTCCAGCCAGCGTCCAGCCAGCGTATAGCCAGCGTCCAGCCAGTGTATAGCCAGCGTAAAGCCAGCGTCGAGCCAGCGTCGAGCAGCAAGTGCAAGACTGAATGTCGGTCAGCAGGGGCTGGGCCAACTTATAGTGTTGACTCGAGGTTGACCAGCCTCTGGTCTCTTGGATACGGCGGTCCAGATTGACCCACAGTCATTGGCCTGGATCTCATACAGTTGCAGATTCCCACTTGGACCGGATTCTTGACAGATACCTGCAAACAGCCAAGTGTGTGTGCCTGATCGGTGGCCTGGGCTGGGTCCGGGACTTTCACGCGTGAGCCTGAATTTCCGAGCTTCTGTTGACCTTTGACTTTCCTTGGTCAACTGTCGCGTGTAGGGTCTCTGAAGCCCAGTTTTGAAACTATGCTTCGGGTACCCACAGCAACATGCCTTGGTTCAGGCAATTTTCCATGACGCGGGTGTGGCCTTTGGCCCCTGATTCGGCCCTTGCACCGAAGTGATGGCCTATGGCTCACAACTATTGCATGTTTCAAGCTGAGTTATTGCATTTTCGAATTGCTGAGCATAGGCTGATGAACTGGGAAATAGTAAACCGCGATGAGTCCGTTAACCAAAGATGGTTAGCCAGAGCTAGTTGGTCAGCCAGGAATAGTCAGCCCTTCATTGAGATGGATGGAGTAAGATTCAGCATCATCGGGCAAACCTCAACAGATCCCTATTGTCAACTTGCTCAGGAAGATAAGGGCAGCAATGGTGAAAGTGAGTCCCACCTCCTTCCTCCGAAAATAACTCAGGGGAGGTTTTTCGAAAAATCTATTCCAGGGTAAGTTTGCCCCCCCCGAGGGCCTTCGAAGCCAGATTCAGAAGTGTTCAAGAAAGAAAAGGAAAAACTTCCACAGGAGTCATATTTGAAGTCTTGGAGGGTTCTTTTTTTTTTTTTTTTTTTTTTTGGTGTGGTCCGATGGACCACGGATCAGATATTAAACTGATCAGAACAGATACTACACTTGATCTTAGCCAAAAGGCCGAGAAAGGTATCAAGTTTTGGAGGGGTTTTGGGTAACCTAAGCAGCCAAACGTAACCCCTGGGAGTTATGTTCGGGGAGGAAGAAGGTACCCTACCCTACTTCTGGGCACACCAAGAGCTATGCCGGCAGGCAATGATCTATCCTCTACAGAGTAGGGATCATAGCAGGCCTTACCGGAGGCAAGAACAGCCACTGACAGCTGCCATCAGAAAGGAACTACAGGTAGTTTGAGTTTCTTTCCTCAGCCGGTGAATGGTTTACATGTGAATAACTGTGTCAGAGGCCAGAGAATGTGGCACAGTACCTTACAACCATCGCTTGCTTCCGGTCTGCTCTGCTCTAAAGGGTTATGGTTTTGCGTGAACGGAATGCCTGGGCATCATGAGCGTCCTGAGGGAAGCTCCTTCCCATGAATAGAAAGCACCATTTCGGATGTGCTCTGTGCATCCAGAAAATGGTGGGAACTTCTCTCACCATCACCGGCCTGTTCCTGTAAGATTTAGAGGCGAATGTACGCATGACCAGAGGCCTCGGGGCTGCTTCCTGTGTTGTCAATGTCTGCAAAATTGTGCAAATGCATTCCTGCCGTTCGCTTTGCCATTATGTGTTTGCATGTGCCGATGCATTGGTTGTGTGTTTCTGTCAGCATTTGTCAATGTATGCGTGCGTGTGTGCCCTCTCTCTCTCTCTCTCTCTACATGTTCATTCGCGGGCCTTGCTCTGGCCAATGGACAACCGATTCAGGACCAGACAGCCTTTCCGTTTCTCAGATTCTCCAACATCTTCGCTTTGTTGTAGAAAACA